ATATAATATTGCAGTATCATCTGCAAAACTAGTTATTTTGCCAACACAATTAATTTGGAAAATATCATTTAAATATATATTGAATAACAGCGGACCTAAGACAGTTCCTTGTGGGACACCACACTTAATATACATTTCTTTACTAAATGATCCTGATATCTGCACAGATTGTGGGCGATTTGACAAATAATTTTCGATCAGTGAGTACGCGTTTCCTCTGAAACCAATTCTCTCCAATGCTTCTAATAATAATTTGTGATTAACTGTATCGAAAGCTTTCTTTAAATCAACAAAAATGCAGATCGAAGGGATTCTGTTATCTATATTTTGATGTATTTGATTTACAATTTTAGTTATTGCGTCCGATGTAGCCTTCCCTTCTGTAAATCCATATTGATTTTCATTTAAAATTTTGAATTTTGTGAGGTATCGAATCATTCTAGTAGATAAAACTTTTTCAAAAACCTTTGCTACACTGGATATTATTGATATTGGTCTATAGTTGTTAACATCTGTTTTTGTTCCTGATTTATGTATCGGTATTATATTACCTTTTTTTAAAATTGAGGGATATATGCCAGATTCAAAGCATTTGTTGATTAGGTAAGTGAGTGGTTCTGTTATGTCCTCGGCTATATAATGCTAGATCAGTTAGATTAATAAAAGTAATTTCATCCAAAAATCCGTTTAAAACACCAAGACAAATAAAAGCCGAAATCGAGACAAAAGGAATTGTCAGTGTTTCTACGAAAACTATAAGTAGAAGATTAAATGATTTGAAGTTATTTGCACGTCGCTCGAGTAAGAAGCCGCTAATCTCGAGGAAAAACCGTAAGGACTGATTACAATTTGCATGGTTGCATCTTGATTGGAGCATCTGTGACTGGAAGAGCGTATGTTTCAGTGACGAATCCAAGTTCAATATGTTTGGATCAGATGGTGTTCATTACATCAGACGTCCTAGTCGAGAAAGATTGAACCCCAAGTACATTTTGTACACTGTCAAAACTGGAAGCGGGTCTGTTATGGTTTGGGGGTGCTTTTCGGGGTTTGGGATGGGACCTTTACATAGAATAGATTGCATTATGGATAAGTTTGTATACACAGACAAACTAAAGCATGTCATGTTACCCTATATGGAAGACAATATGCCCTTAAGATCAATCTTCCAGCAAGAAATTCTTTCTGGATGAAAAAATACCAGTTTTCAAATGGCCTTCACAGTCTCCCGATATAAACCCTATTGAAAATCTATAGGAATACTTAGATAAGCAAATACGAGATAAAAATTATTCAAATAAGGATGAACTTTTTGCCGCTTTAGAGCAAAAGTGGAGACAGATTGATGAATCTTATAACACAAGAAACTTCTACAATCTATGCCGAGACGATGCCAGGCGGTGATTGATAATAATGGTTATGCTACAAAATATGAACACAAACATGGTTGGTTTTCTATAATTCAATGAACTTTGCCTCTTTTTTCTACAATTGGTTTGCTTTGTCTATATATTTTTGTCCTTCTAAGTTCCAGTTTTTACGATTAATTTTTTAGTCTAATGCATTTATTTATGTATAAGTGAGTATTAAGCTATAACGAATTATGTATACAGGATGGTGTATTAATAAAACAAGTTAAAAAAGAAATACAGCACAATATTAATTTGTCTATATACTTTTGTCCATTACTGTATCTTTGTGATCAGTTGTGTGCCTTTGAAGAATGGTAGAAAGCAGGGTTAACAGATGGAAATGATTTTATACAATTTGTGTCCGCCTTTCGGTAATAATTGGGATAACTTTGGAAGATTTTGCACCGGTAGCTTTTTGGTAAACAAAAAATAATTTAGTTGGAAATATTTTTATTAGACGTGTTACCGCAAAATTTTATACCGAGCACCGACCGACCAAACAGATATCGTACTTCGCATTAGATCTGCACGGATCTGTATAACTTGCAGCGCATGCTTATGCTTAAATCGCGCATTTGATTTTGTAGATAGAGACAAAAGCAAGCGTGTCGAAGTAGTGCACAGACCCTTTTCAAGTGGCCCATGAATAATGTTACGCTGCGGTCGCGACGAAAATGACAAGTACACAATTGGTCGTTTACAATGCTTTCTCAATACAAAACAGACTCGACGCTGTCCTGCGGGGGCAGCGTTGCCGGTATTGTTTCTGTTTGTGTGATAACATAGAAAATAAATAATGATCAAATTACTACTGCTTTTTTCTGTTAAGACGAAAGTTTCGGCAGTTCTGCAGCTCTGATCGGAAACATATGCTGATGAAAATTATGGAGCTTCAAGAAGATGTCAACATTACCAAAGCTGTCACCATTTTAGATGCTATATATTTGCACGGGAATTGGTTACTCCAGAAACGATTCGTAATTGTTTTCGCCATGTAGGTTTAGTGAAAAACATAACTTTAATAGTCAACGATTTTAGTCCAGGAGATGAAATTCCATTAAGAGATTTACTGAAAATTGATAGTTTACTGAATATAGACAAAATTAATGAGTATGTAGATGTTGACAATAATTTAACAGCAACACACGAATTGTCAGACTCCAATTTGGTTAATGAAGGATCCGTTGATAACGGACAGGAAGACGAACTAGAAAACAACGATGAAGAAGAGCTTCCAATGACAACTAAGGAGGCACTAGACTGCGTGAAAAAGTTGCAACGTTATTTTCAGCAAGAAGAAGACAGTACAGCCACACTTACTACCCCCCCCCCCCCCTCCCATGTATCCCCATATAGCCCCACGGTACCCAATGGGTGCTTAGGTCTTAGGCCTTCGTGGTAGTTGGAGGATAAAAAAAAAGCTTACGAAATTAAATAAAATTCAACTTGCTGTTCTAAATAATTATACAAAAAAACAATCTGTTCAAATGATAATTACTAGATTTTTTACCAAATAATTTACGGTTTTAACACATACCTACACAGTACGTATACCTGTAATATGTATATCAGATTCTGAAAAAATGCAAATTTCAAAATTTCGTATAACTTTTTGTATGTATCTTTATTTATGTAATACATGTTAAACAAACACATTTAAAGGTTTTAATATCTTATTTCTGCTGCTTTTTGCATTACAAAAGTGTTTCTTTTAAGATGGTCATCCGCCTATAATAGACTATATGTCACAGTCCCGCCGAGTCTGTTATAAGCGGGTTGCACTGTATTTACATATGTATATCTACATATCTTCTTAGTGTAGTGATTAGGATGGATTATCAGTACTTAAATTTGTTATTTTATTTGCAAACTCTGTCGTAGACTATTAGTTTATTTTGTTCATGTGACTGAACTGCCAATGGACAACTGTTGGACAATAAATATTATCATTATCTTTGCACCCGCAACTTAAAGAATACCCCCGAAGTTCTATTTTCGCAATATCAGATAACATAAGTCCGTCTTTAAGAACTAATATCCATGGCAAAATTCATCGAAACGGAAAATACAAACCTACATACACAGTAAGGATTATCTTTAAAAATACAGTTTTTAAATAATCGGCGATTTTTTTGCTAGTATCTTTTTGGCAACACTGTTTTTGACAGATGACGCGTGAATCGTGTCTTATGTCATTGTCAAACTTGTTCAGTTTGGACTATAATTTAACCATGAATCGACTTACGAACGAACAACGCTTGCAAATTATTGAATTTTACTATCAAAATTCATGCTCGGTTAAGAGAGTGCATCGAGCACTGCTTCCAATTTATGGGCGATTTGGTCGGCCTACTGAGGGAGCTATTCGGAAGCTTGTGACTAAATTTCGAACCCAGTTTACATTATTGGACATTGAACCACCAACACGCAGACGTAGAGTGAGGACTGAAGAAAATATTGCGCCTGTATCCGCCAGTGTTAGTGACGCAGCAATTGGGCCTCTGTTACTCCACTACGTGGAAAATTTTGCGACAGGATTTGGGTGTAAAACCTTATAAGATACAGCTGGTGCAAGAATTGAAGCCACACGACCTCCGACAACGTTTCCAATTTGGTGAATGGGCGCTGGCAAAGTTGGAGGAAGATCCACATTTTTATCGAAAAATTGTGTTCAGCGACGAAGCTCATTTCTGGTTGGGGTACGTTAACAAGCAAAATTGCCGCATCTCGAGTGAAGACCAGCCAGAAGCATTGCAAGAGCTACCAATGCATCCCGAAAAAATCACTGTTTGGTGTGGAGTATGGGCCGGTGGCATCATCGGGCCGTACTTCTTCAAAGACGACAATGGCCGGAACGTAACTGAATGGCGAGCGCTACCGTGCGATGATAACAAACTTTTTTTTGCCCAAAATGGAAGAGCTGGACTTGGCTGACATGTGGTTTCAACAAGACGGTGCCACATGCCACACTGCACACGAAACAATGGCCCTACTGAGAGGCGAGTTCGGTGAACAGTTTATCTCGCGTTTGGGGCCCGTCAATTGGCCGCCTAGATCGTGTGATTTAACGCCGTTGGACTATTTCTTGTGGGGCCATGTTAAGGCTAATGTCTAGAGGCATAAACCAGCAACGATCGACGCACTGGAAGCCAATATTGAAGCATTTATTCCGGCCGATATGTTGGAGAGAGTGTGCCAAAATTGGACCTTACGCATGGGCCATCTAAAGCGGAACCGCGGCCAACATTTACATGAAATAATCTTACATTAAATTATATCGACCGTTCTATCGACTCAAATAAAGATTTAATCGTTTTTTTAAATTTTTTGTGTTTTTTTTTTAAATCAAATCCTGTATCTCTTAAAAAATCACCCGTTATTTGCATTATCAGGTTCACAAACGTGTCTGCATTGTTTTTTCTTTGAAACAATAGAAAGCTTCGAAAGCATCTAAAACTTTCCGTTTGAACTGATCGTTCTCCGGCAACACCTGACTACCTGTTGGCATGCCAATATCCAGATGGACCGAATGTAATAATCACAAACGTTCAAATACAACGCCGCTTGCAACGCTGATTCAGTATGCACCTAGGCTACCAAAGAACCAAAAACTAACCTAGGCGGCGTGTCGATCAGGAAGTTGTACGCTTGTCTCTGAGGCGGGTACCATTGGTTGACCATCGGTGGCGGTTCCTGTCCTCTGCTGCCACTAGCACCACTCATATCACTAGCACTAGCGTACCCCATCGGGTCCCTCGGACCGGGACCCGGCGCACCGTAAGGCAACATAGTCACTTCTGCCTCACGACATCACATATCACTTTCGCATCCGGATTAAGGGTGGCTTCACACAGACACGGGGTAAAGGAGCGCCGGCGCGGAGAGATGCACTCGCCGCGTTAAGTAACCACGCGTCGATGTTCAGTTGTCGACTGAAGGCCGACAGCCAACTGCGCGGTTAGCCGGGCTATCGCGAGGAGAACTGCTGTTAGTATGGGAGGCAATCGTAGACATATTTGCAATTATAATCAGACGATTAATTGCAACAAGTCCGTCAATCAGAGGAAAAATGACGGATCATAAAAAACGGAACCACAAGTGATGACAGATATTTTGCAAGCTGTGATTCGAATGGCTTGGAGCAACAACGTGGCTAACCCTCATTGACTTTATTCGTTAAAGTATACTAAGTGACATATAAATCCGAACACCCAGTTTAAATAGTTTGATTTTAATAAAAGTTGGTGAATGTATTTATCTTACTGTAAATAACAAGTGAAAAAATTTTCAGCCTTATCAGTTGGACATTCCGGTCTTTATAGTGTTTTTTTTTAATTCACTAACGCTCTAAAAATGAATATTTCAGCCGCAGTAAAGAATCAACGTTGGCGGATTTTGGTTCTTGACATCCTTTACGATCGGTTACGATGCCTAGAGTACGGAGACCTGTACGATTTCGTCAACTTAGTGAGTTTGATAGGGGCTGTATGGTGGGACTTCGGGAAGCTGGACTTTCTTTTCGGGCAATTGCAGTTAGAGTGCAAAGAAGTGTAGACACTGTGGTTAGGTGTTGTCAGGCATGGCTTCGAGAAGGCCGTACGCAAAGAGCAAGTAGCACTGGACGCCGCCGTAGAACAACAGACCGTGAAGATCGCCGCCTAAGATTATTGGCCTTAAGGGACCGTTTCTCCACTACCAGGTCCATTGCAAATGAATGGTTTGCAGAACACGGAAGACCTATTGGCATGCGAAGTGCTTACCGACGAATTAGAAGTTTTGGCTTGTTTTCATACCGGCCACACTGGATCCTCCTTTTAACTCGAGAACACCGACGTAATCGCCTTGAGTGGTGCAGACAACGGTCACTCTGGGATCAGGAATGGAACAGTATTGTCTTTAGTGACGAGTCTGGATTTTGTTTAGGCATGCACGATGGTCGTGCCAGGGTTAGAAGGCGACGTGGTGAAAGGTGGAATCCACAGTTTTTTGTTGAAAGACATGTTCATCACACTGTTGGAGTTATGGTTTGGGGTGCTATAGCTTATGGTTCCATGTCACCTTTAATCTTCATCAGAGGTAACATGAACGCGCAGCCTTATATCCACGAAGTTCTAGAACCCCATCTTTTACCCTATCTTGACACCCTGGCAGATCCAACTTTCCAACAAGATAATGCCCGACCACATGTTGCAAGAGTCACAATAGACTTCTTTCAACATAATGATGTCACATTGTTACCATGGCCACCAAGATCTCCCGACTTATCCCCAATTGAGCACGTGTGGGATATGATGGGTAGGAGATTGCTCAATTTGCAACGTCCTCCTCAGACTCTAGAAGCACTTCGAGAGGAGTTGGTGGTTGCCTGGAATGAGATACCACAGGAGGACATTGACCACCTGATCAGAAGCATGCCTAGGCGCGTTGGAGAATGCGTAGCACATCAGGGTGCATCCACACATTATTAAAGGTCAAAGGGCTTTAAAGCAGTGCAATCATTTTGAAATTTTTATCATTTACGTATTATGCTTCATTAAGTACTTATACAAAATTTTATTAAAATAAAACCATTTAAACTGGGTGTTCGGATTTATATGTCACTTAGTATAGTTTATAGGTTCCGCTGTGGCAGCAGAAACTCGTCCAGGCCGCAGAATTTGGCATTACGGACACGCAGACTGGGAGGGGCTCAGCTACTTCTTCTCCACCTTTCGTTGGAGAGATGTTAGTTTCGCGGATGCGACAGGTGTCTGTTCATCGATAACCGAAATTATCCACGTTGGGATGGAGGAATACATCACTCGTACAATGAAAGTGCCTAAACCAGTTTGAAAGGAACTTCTCACAGAGTAGCTTTCCGTAACTTACGTGTCAGGATGGAAAGATTGTAACCGACCCAAAGGCTAAGGCGGAAGTTCTTTGCTGCCAACTCCCCAACGCCCAAGTGCCGTCGATTCAAAGAGTTCCCTACACTACGCGGGAAATATTCAAGCATAAGACCGTAAGTTAGGTGCTCTTGTCACTCGACATCAACAAAGCTTCTGATGGTCTGTACTTGATTCCTACCATTGTATGTATTGAAGAGGTATCCAGAGGAGCTAGCCCCAGTTCTGTCGCGACTCTTGAGCCGCGAACAGACTGAGAGTCCAACGCAAGCCAATGCACATGTGGTTACAGAGAGGAGAATCGTCGCTCGACATTAGCACCGAACTTAACCCAACGCGGTCCAACTCAAAACCAAATTTAGGTTAGACGAGCGCATTCCAATACCTTCCAACAACAAACGCCAACGTCACATGTGCTTGCATTCATTTGCTCGGCGTTGGATTTCCGCTTCTTCACAAAAAATCCACTACTGACTCCTATCATACATTTAACCACTCTCTGGGCAAAAAATACTTGCTGAACATTTGTGGACAAGCCCCAGAAGCAGAGTGCATACCTCAGTCGCGTCTCAACTATTACTCACATTGTCGTCGAATATTTTAAATAATGTTACTACTATATCAATGACGTAAAAGCTGTGTAGTTTTTGAAAATCGGTCCGGTTGCGGCAGAGAAAAAGGCAACAAACGAAATCGGATAAAATCGCTCAAACTTGTTTTTTTTTTTACCGTTTCGCAGAATCCCGATAATTTTTGAAAAAAAATGTAGAAGAAAAAAATCGGGGGTGGGGGTTGATCCGCCACACATCATCTCCTATACTATACGGAGACCGGTTGCTCTGGGAACGCGGTAGCCACGTTGCCACGGCACCGGCAACTTCGATGTTAAAGCGACCGGCGTTATACCGCTGCCGTTTGCCGCTGACGCGTCGCGGCGCGCAATTTCTATCAGGCCGCCGCGTCGCGCTTGCTTCTTTTTCTATGATTTTACGTCTTTTGCTGCCGGTGCGTTGCGTTCGTGCCGCTTGACGCTCGCCGGGTATTGCGAAATGTTAACAACCAACGCCGCGCTTTTACTTCCCATTTCATTTGCATCCCACTTCTGATAGGAAATTAGGAATGGTACTAGTTAATGGGTTAATAATAAACTATTTGGATAGTGGTCACTTTGGCACGTAATAGGCAGCAAATGTATATAAACTACTCCGACTATCATTAATTATACAGGGTGTTAGGAAAATAATAATCGTAAGTTTAAGAGGTGATTATTCTAAGCAAAAAACTTCATTATAACCTATGTCCGAAAATCCACCGTTTCGGAGCAAAACAGTGCTAAACTTATTTCTTTTTAGTCACGAAATAAATTGATTTTGCACCTTAATTAAATTCATATGCCTAATAGCGTAAAATGTATCAATACAACTATTTATCAATTAACTGTCTCTAAAAAAATAATTTACTTGCTTATTAGACACAATTTTCCGAAGAAAAACAGACAAACAGAATCCCTCACACAACTGGCAACGTCGTACTTCGCCTGCACTGCATGTATCATCGCGTGTTGTTGTGATTACTAATACATTTAACTGAAACTTTATGTGATTTACGGATGTTGTTTTTTTCTTTTTTCGTGCATAGTATCGTTTCAAATAAGTGACTGATAATCGTGGGAATTGGTGGTGTGTATCGCCACGTACCGGTAAGTTCTGCCATTTTTTTAAGTAAATGTACTGTACTGAAAGCGTTATTAAATAAAAAATATTAGCCACAAAAAACTGCGTAAAAGTATTCAATAATTCAAGGCAAATTTTCAACAAAAATATCATACAAACGTAAACAATTCGATGAATCGGTTGCGGTCATCGTGCGCTCGTATCCCGGTTGCGTTGCAGCGTTGCCAAATGTGTGAGAAAATTTAATTATTTACGACTCTCTTTCCTCGAAAACGATTGATTTTCGGACATAAGTTGTAATGATCTTTTTTGCTTAGAATAATGCAAGGAATAACCTCTTAAAGTTACGAATATTATATTTTCTTCAGAATGTTATCGGAAATGATGTCACCCATTCCCAGGCAGTACAGTTCCAACACCCTGACATACACCCATGAACTTTAATAAACCACAGATCAACTTTCTATCATTTCTAGTATCATTCTGAAGGAGATATAAAAAAATGGGCTACATATCTAGTAACGAATCCCGCTTCTGTCTGGGGATGCACGATGGTCGGTCAAGAGTGAGGCGACGTGGTGATGTCTTCTCGATATATCTCATGCCAAGCTAGCTGTATTTGATCCAGAAAAGCTGCTAACCTTAGTGCAGAACGAAATAAAGAGGTCGCCTTTTTGGATGGACAGATGGACGTTTAATTTGTTTCCATGAATGTTGGTGTATGAAATTGGGATGCATAATATTACGTTACGTGTAATAATCACTCTAGCTAAACTTCAGGATAATGAATCACTCTTTGTGAATTTATGAATAAATATCATTACTATTAGTCACAACTTTTCCTTCATTGCACTGTATAATTTATTTGAACTTTTTAATGCACAAAGTTATCAGTTTTTTTTAATGTAATGGAAATGCTTTTTGCGAAATGAGATTTGTAAAACTTTAATGGGTCCTAATCTGTTTTTCTCTCCTCTCGCCATCCTATTGTCAACTTTTGTTTATAAGCGTATTGCCTTTGAGTTATAGCCTTTTTTCTGTATAAGCACAGAAGAGGTGGTACATTCACGAACAAGCATAGAAAGTACGGTTATAAAGATATAAATCACCTTTTCAGAAGCATGTCCCGACGACTAGACCAATGTATATAGCACCAGGATAACAAAACATATTGTTGGAGTAATTAAGAGATACAGCAAATGTATTCATTTCAAAACTTAATCACGACTTC